CCAGACGAACTCCTCAAACTTTTTTTTGCAACCGGCCCGTCTGAAGCGCTACCAGCTCCCTTCGTGCGCGAGTGTAGGAGATGAGATGTGATCCGTGTGTATCAATTAACCCCCCCCCCCCTTTTCCCCCCCCCCCCCCCCCCCCCCCCTCCCGCCGCGCCTTCTTCAGGTCCGGTCTTGTCGGCTGATCCGCATGCTCAAGCTCGAGAGGTACGTGAGGGCCTTCGAGGTGTTCGACGACGCCATCCGAGACCAGCACGACATCCTCGCCGTCTCCGGCTTCTTCGCCCTTGTTGCCTGGGTCTTCGCCTCCTCTCTCCTGTGAGTGCCCCTCCCTCCTCTCCTGCTGTCCTAGGAGAGGCTGGTGCTGCTGTGAGCGCCCCTCCCTCTTCGCCTGTTGTCCTATGAGATACTCTTGCTGCTGTGAGTGCCCCTCCCTCCTCCCCTGTTGTCCTAGGAGAGGCTGGTGCTGCTGTGAGTGCCCCTCCCTCCTCGCCTGTTGTCCTAGGAGAGGCTGGTGCTGCTGTGAGCGCTCCTTCCTCCTCGCCTGCTGCCCTAGGAGAGGCTGTTGATGGTGCGCCACCGGATGGTCCTGGCGCTCGATGGGACAGCAGGGCTCTTGGTTCAACATGTGTTGTCGAGGATTTTTCGCTGCTGTTTTATTTGTTGTGCTTCCCAATTTACAGGGCATGATTTTCGCAGCTCTGGCAGTCCCTATAGGGAGGTTTGATCGGCACGACATGGATCTCCGTCATTTCCGTGTGCGGTTATTTTCGTTGCTCTTGTTTTCGTTTTCTTCCGTTGCACCAGGCATAGCTTGTTTCCTTCCTCTTTGGTCGTTTACTATCCCTTTCGATCTTCACTCGATTCGCTAAATCACACACGATAATTGATCAATCGACACGGAAGGGGGCCAAGAAATCAACCACGGAACCCCGAATGGCAGGTACTACACGGAGAGCGAAGGACCGGACCCCAACATGACCCCGTACTACCAGAGCGTGCCCATGGCCATGTGGGTCACCATGCTCAACCTGGCGGGAGAGGCGCCCCTGTGCGACTACACTGTTTGGGGCAAGGTAAAATAAATATCGTCGTGCTGTATCGTAGCTTACAGCGCTCTTGCGTGTTGTTGATGGGTCCAGTTGCTTGTTCTGAGAGAGGGCAATCAGGGTTTTAGAGCGGATGGCCTCTGCGTTTTGACAACCGTTCGGGTAGACGTCACGACCAGTCTAAAGCACCTATCCAAGCAACTACCAATCTAGAACTTATCCCATCAATATTGCGCCTTTGGCGGCACGCCAACCTAGGACGTATGCATTCAACACCAACCAAGCTGTCACGTTCGGGTTTGGGATAGGGTAAGCGTTAGACTTGAACCTGTTTCATGCCCCCTCCACAGCAATACAAGGTAACCTTTACAGTTTCGTGGATGGGGACGGTTTCCATCAACTGGCTGACTCCATGGCTGAATGGATACTCACCCTGCCGTAGGGTAGGATATGGGTTCGAGACTGCGCCCATCGTATTCCCCAACCTTATGGGATGGTGTTTTCTAGTCCGTCAAACCTCAGGGTGAACGACTTATTTACGTTCTCCTCTTGGTGCACAACGGTAATAGTTGTGTTGCTTAGCGTTTCTTTGAGAGATATCAGAGCGTCGCACGGATCCTGACACTTCTTCTCCATCCTTTACATTGTCAAACATGCATGTAAACGTTCTGCCCGTGTGTTTTTTTCGGGTGTGTTTTCAGATCATCACGGGCGCCTTGGGCATCTTCGGCGTAGGCGTTTTCGCCGTACCAGTGGGTCTCCTCGGAGCGGGTTTCCAGGAGTACGTGGAGGCATTCCCCGACAAGGTTTGATATCTGCTTTCTTTTTTTCTGTCGTTGATTTCGTGGTTGATTTTTGTTGCTGATGCTGGTGCTGGTGGCGCTGTTGCTGGTGCTGTTTCCGTCGTCGTTGGTGGTGTTGCTGATGTTCAACTGTTGTTGTTGTTGTTTATATTCTGCTGCTGCTGTCGTGGTGCGCTTGTCGATTCTACCAACGCACTCCTTCGTGTTGCACCTCATTCGGTTATGAAAAATGCGTGAAAAAACGACGTTGTTGCGGGTCATTCAACGGACCCCGCTTGACAAGGAGGAACAGGACACTCACAAGGGCAACCTGCCTATCCGCGCTGGCCTCGCGTCGGGTACTTCCAACAGTTCGGGTGAGTCAGTGCTCTAGTTCTTTGGCTCCACCCATTATTTTTTTTGTGAGACATACGACAACAACGTCAGAACGCGCGTATGTTGACGGTGATCCTACCAAGAGTCGTACGTGAAACGAAGGTCGGTGTCGGAAGGAGTACACTGATGATGATCACGCGGCTACCGCAATCAATAAGTCAACACGCTCGCACCTTGGTGCCGGTGGGCCACTGTTGTTTTCGTATTTGTCTGCTGCTGGCCTGAAAGAGCTTCACCAGAAACACGGTAGCGGTTTTTCCCAACCGGACATCTATGCACATGTAGATGCCGTCGGGTTTGAATTCTTTTGGCGCAACACACACGAAAACGCCCAGCAAGAAATTGTGCGAAATATGCATTCGCTCTTGTTTTCCGAGTCCCTGGTGCCTTCGTAGATCCCCACCCGGTTTGCATCGGAAATATTAATATTCTCTGTCAAGCTGTGCACCGGGTGTACGTTCTGGCGCTTTCTGCTGCAGTTCGAGATCCCCACGTTGCCGCTAGACCGAATAAACGGTGTACTTCGTTCTTGTTTCCCTTGTTTGATTGCCTCATGTCCGCCGTCGAAACCACGGCCCCCGTCTTGTTGATTATTGGTTGCGGTTTCGCAGCAGGCGAGCGGGGCTCTCCGGGGGGCAGTCGGCAAAAGCCCCTGAGGAAGCGCTTGCACGCCTTCCTGGAGGCTAGGACAACCTGGGGCAGGCGCTTCGAGGCCTTCATCATGTTCGTCATCTTCGTCACGGTCACGCAGGTGTCTGCTAAGGGGGGACGTCGAACCTGACGTGTAGAAAAGGGGGGAGTTAGAATCTGATGTGAAAGAGCGAGCCCCGATGCGGCAGAACCGCGCGCTACGTTGCGCGATCGAAGTACATGATAAGTTATTTTCTTTCAATTTTGTCGAGTGTGAGGTAGCTTATCCCCCCACAGGCTCTCAACTGGTGCCGCGTTCTGTGCGCATTGCTGAAAACCAACGGGCTTATCGTTCTCACCGTTTCCGCCCCACCACCGCGTGTCAGGTTATCCTGATGACCATGCCGTCGGTGTGCGAGGACGAGAACCACTGCCCCACGGTCTTTGACAACGTGGAGCTCGTTGCCGTTGTGATCTTCACGCTCGAGTACGCCGCTCGGGTGTACGCCGCGCCGGAGGCTTACCCGGTGCGACGCTTGCCCTCATAGTCTTTTGAGGTCCCCGAGATCTCGGCTGTTCGTATGTTGCACATCCAACCCCGCCCACCCACCCTAGTGTTGTGTGTGTGTTTCTTTCCAGGTCCTCCGAGGGACGAGGACAGGATGCAAAACAAGATAGACAAAAAACCCCAGCTTTGCGCTCCTCACGTTTACCTAATAACTCTCGTCCTGAAAAATCAACTTGTAACTTTTATGCGTTTCGGAGGCCTTGCTTGCTAACAAGAAGGCCTAGAGTGACACGAGATAATACTTTGAGGGGAGGAACTCAAACTTGGTATCAAAACACCTTTTTCAACAGGGGTTGCTTCCGTGCCACTTGGACGGATTTCGCAGATAGTAGCGTTGCCATCCCGAGTGTGCATACGCCGCGCCAGAGGCCTCCCCACATGAGGCGGAATCTCAGCCGATCGCCGCCATTTGGCGGGGAGCCGAACACGCGAGGTCACGAGATTCCCACGGGATTCTACGTAAAGTCTGGTGCCGTAAGATCTTGCCTCCTTCCCCGGTTAATTCATCCCGCCACCTCTCCGGCTACCCGCGTGGCGAGTGATAGCCCTTTTCAGGATACCCGTTTACTGCTGTCAGTTACTCAAGATAACACACCCCACTCAAGGTAACACATGGTGGAAACACGTCTACGGGTCAAAATGCGCCCAATGCTACAGCTATTTCTAATATCTAAGCAGGGCTACCTAGAACACCACATCCCCGGCAACGACACACCCGGTGACAATTTTTTGAAACCACAGCGTTTAACTCCGGGGGCGGCTGGGGTGTTTCTTGTGTAGTACCAGTATTCGCTACGCGATCGCGCTGTAGTCTTCCCCCCGTTTCCCTCGCGTGAACAAAGTGTCAGATCGAAGCTACCGTTTGCCGTCATACGTACCACACAGTTTATCGTCCCCTAGTATTCTCAATCCTGCCCCCATTACGATAATGCTCCTCTTTCTTACACCCGGAGTCTCCTCGTCCGTGTCTTGGCGTCTTGCAGGAGAAGTCTGCCTGCATGGCCCGTCTCCGCTACATGGTGTCGTTCTACGCGATGATAGACTTCCTAGCCATCTTCCCCTACTACGTCGCCCAAATGTCCGCACGGGTCGACGAGTACGACAACTACCTCCGGCTGCTGCGGCTCCTCAGGATCATCAAGGTGAGTTTTTGGAATGTTCGGTGTTGGTCGGGTTTGTTATCCTGACCGGCCGCTGTACGGATTTTTTTCGCGGTCAGTCATAGGGTATGAGACGCATGTCAGGCGAAAGGAATAGCCCAGAACCATCGAATATATTTCGTTCGGTGGGACCCCGGACCGGCGCTCTTTACTCCCGAAAGACAACACGTTCGGTATTGACCCTTCTAGTGAAGGGGGCGATAGTCATCGAGATGACAAACCGTTGCACCACAGACGATAAGGGCGATGACTAAATCGAATAATCGGGTGTTCTATGGCTTTCTCCTGGTCACTCGAACTGCCTACATGTCGTTCCAACATGTGCCTTACATTTCCGTACACAAGAAACACACCCCTTGGACCTATTGTCAAAGCTCAATTTGTCAACAGCAGAAAGATTTGGGGGGCCGAAAACGGCGGCGTTGAAGCCGTCTGGTCGAGAGCTCTCCGAAAACGTATCGTTTCGATTGTTCATCCTCTTGGGCGTGGAGTAATTGAGGTTTGAAAATCGTTCCAGGGGGTGTGTTACCTTGTGTGGTATACGGTACTCTCTTTCTGTGAGGTCAACCGTTGTGTGTACACCCTAAGGTCAACGGCTGATTTCTTTGCGCAAGCCAAATCGGTTTTGGCACCCCCCCCTTCCTCACGGCCCGGCGATCTTCCTGCACTTCGCCTCCTTGACCTCTTTCGCCTCTCGCACCTTCTGAACGACAGGTTTCGTGTTTGGTTTGTTCTTGCTCTCGTGAACGCTTTTTTTTGTTTCGTATACATGTCGAAGCTGAAGCTCCGTGCGTGCGTGTCCCGTTCGTTTCTTGTGTGCGGGGACCAACCGCAGCTCGACAAGTACGCCCCCTGCGTGAGCTTGATCGATGACGTGTTCCGCCTCAAGTGGAGGGGCCTCCTCGTCGCTGGCTACGCGTCGGCGGTGATGCTGGCGTGGTTCGGGTCGCTCATGTACCTCGTCGAAAGGGACGACAACGAAGTCCAGGTCTGCGAAAGCGTTCCGGCGTTTGTTTTTCGCTGTACAGCAGTGGTGGTCCCGGTATAATGCCGGTGCGACCCAGCCGACTTCACCGGCATCATAGCGGGCAACCGGCATTCTTCAGAGTACGAAACGACTTGAATGTTCCGTCTGTGTCAGACGATTTCAACGGCATTCTTCGGGGAAACTGGCATTATTCGACCAACATTTTACCGGGACTACTAATGTAGAACTAGTTGAAGTAGTTGTTCTTCGCCTTGAGAAGTAGTCAGGTTCGTCTTTGTTCTTGGCGGGTGCACCCAGGATCAAGCAACACAAAGGCTGAACGAATGGGGTTGAGTGCAGCCGATAAGGTGTCGCCCATGTTTCTCGTCGAAAAGGGGCGACAACAGAAGTCCAGGTTGGCCCAGCGATGGTGGTCTGGAATTCGGTCTTTGAACGATTGGTCTTCGCTCGAACGGCAAAACACGATTGAAAGACGGAATCAGTCGCGAAATACTCCATTGGGGCTTATGCTAGTGGTCCCCTTGCCGGATAGGAAGCGGTGCCGCTGGCGGTTGGTTACGCTAACGACAGAGTGGCTTGACGGGCACGGATGTGTCCAGCGGGAAGGTTCAAGTTGGGCTCTAATGAACCTCTTAGAGTGACTGTTTACTGATAAATCCGTTGGAGGAAAGAGTCAGGCCTGTGTGCAAAGTCTTGCCTTGTCCGATTAACCACCGGTCGACTTCTTGTGGAGTGGTCGTTTCGGTCCGAGGCCGGCATGACGCGTCCCGGACGTGGGTGCGTAGCGTGAAAGCGTCACGGCGTGTGTCTTGCCGTTGGCTGCGTGTAGCGGCGGCAAGGCAGACCATGAGGTGCAAGAGAAGGTGGCATGCTTATTGATAGTACCACTTTTATGGTTTGTTTTTCCCACCGTCAAGTTTAGTAAACTGAACGGTTTAGAGACCGATAGCGGCGTCTCTTTGGCGGCGTTACCATACCGTGCTTTTGCCCTTCTACCTTGCCCCCACTCTCTGGCACGAAACCGCAGATTCAGTGCTACTTCGAGTCGCAGCGATTTTCGTCGGTGCTGAACGCCCTGCAGTACGACCTCATTCTCCTGACGGGGGACTACCCCCTCATCGACTTCACCCTGCTAGGGCGTTACATCAACTTCGTCCAGGTGAGAGAGTGTGAGTGAGAGTTGCAGTGAGAGTGAGAATGATACTGAGAGTAAGAGTTAGAGGTAGTGAGAGAAAGGGCGAGAGATATTGACAGAGAGACAAACAGACAGAGACAGAGAGGAGACATATCGACGGACAGAGATGAAGCATGACAGCGAGACAGAGAGAGACGGAACAACAGCGAAGAAGTACGAGATGATCCTGTGTCGAGAGAGCGACCCCCCTCGGGACCATGTTACCGTATGGGATACGTAAAGAATACCCCACCCACGTGGCTTTGACGTGCAGGTTTCAGTAGGAGTAGTATCGAACAGGGCGCACAAATTCCGCACCAAGCTGGATCGTTCGGATTTTCGCGAAACATTTCACACGGGGCCTTTCCAAGATTACCTTTTCGGAAGTGAAACCACTCCGTTTCGGTGTCTTCTCGAACATATTACTTGTAGATGTTCCGCTGCGGACGGTGTTTTGACATGGCCCTTTCCTGTTCCTCGTGACCTTGTGTGTTGCGGTTACAAAATTTCCGGCGTCGTTTGTTGCACACGTGTACCTCGCAGTTTGCGTGTCAGTAGACCCCCGCCGCCCACCCTATCCACGGTTTTTATTTTCCGTAACCCAGCCCAATTCCCCCCTCCTTTCGGCTTGGCCTCCTTGTTGCTCTTGGAAACCCCTTTTATTCTCCGAATCGTTCGCACGCTGGTGCCGTCGTCACCTTGGGTCGTCATCGCCACCGCACCCGCCACCGCCACCGCCACCGCCGCCGCCGCCGCCGCCGCCTTCGTCGTCGTTGCTTTTGCTATGGTTACTGTTGTTATCGTTTTCGTCGTCTGGTTGTCATGTGCTTGTCGTCGTCTGCCGGTCGTCATCGTCGTCATCGTCGTCGTCGTCGTCGTCGTCGTCGTCGTTGTTGAAGATTTTTGTGGCGGTCGGAGTGGTGGCCGTGCCGTCGGGCTTGATCGCGAACGGCTTCTCCCAGGTGTTGGAGGAGAGCAGGAACGCCAAGCACGCCAAGCGGAAAGCGGCGGCCGTTCTCCTGCAGAGACAGGTACGGCAGCATCAAATGATCGATCGACTGCGTGGACCCGGCCAAGCACGGAGGGAAAAATACCTCTGTGTGCCCCCCCCCGTTGTTCCAGTTTTCCCCTTTTGAGGATTGGCCTGCTACTGGTGATGACGGAAGTTTGCTTCCCGCCAGAGGTACTGATACTAGGCATCGAAGAGTACTGGGCAGTATACGTGATAACCGCTCGCTATTCTAGATACAGGTAACAACAGTCCAAACAACAATAATGGCGCATGAATTCCCCCCCTCCCCCAGGTTTGTCGCCGAAGCAGAACGCATTTTGTATGAAAGGCAGCGTTCACTGTCAGGGCCATGCTCTTGTCCCTTTTTTGTCCTTTTTTCCGCCCATTGTCCCGCTCCATACCTTTCTTGTTGTCTCCGTTGCATTGGGGTTTCTCATGCGTTGCCCTCAAGCCAGAGTCTACATGATCGGGGACACGCTTTCCACGTTTCTCTTGTTGCCGTCTTCACTCTTGAAAATAATGGTCCTGCCCCCTCTCCCCAGCAACCTCCACTACCCTATCAAAGGTTTTGACCTTGGAGGAAGAACTTGCTCCGTCGCAAGCTCGCCCCGTAAGTGCGAAAAAGAAGAAATGGACTAAGGTCCAAGAGGCATTTAGTGCAACGACCCCCGGAGACGAAAAGGTTCCAAAAAATTACTGGAAGTCACACAACGAGGGCGACCTTCTGTGCTCGTATGTTCTTCCCTTGGACAAGACACGTCTCGCCAAACGCGGACACCTTAGTGATCTGTAAAGAACAAACGCACTCCCACTCGCCCTGGTACTCATAGAATAGTGATTGTCACTTCCCTCAGCGGGCGGCCTGGCCTTTGCACCAATCACGATCGCGCTTATCGCATGTCAAGGCTCAACCGAAAGCGAGTCTTGAATTACATATTGTTTTTCCCCCCTTCGCGTTGAACGACTCGCTGACAGGTCCGGGGCCATCTGGCGCGACGGCAGTTCCACTTGGTAGTGGAGGGCGCGCAGCAACAAGAAGAGGAGAGAAAGAGGCAGAAGCGCCTCATGGAGCTGGACTACGAGGCGCACTTGCCGGTGTACGACAGGGTGAATGTTTACGTGTCTTTTTTGTAAGCATCGGCCGCTCTAGCCGGCCGACTAATGAGAAGATGTCAGTTCTCAAAACGGAAAAAGCTTCTTAAGCCCATGAGCTGTCCCCCCCGTGAGGCTGTGTGTGCGCGGGTGTGAATGTGTTTTGGTCTTTGGTTCTCATCGGCTGCACCAATCGGCTGGCCGTTGTGCGGAGTGAGTCCTCTGATCGACTGCACTAATCGGCTGGCCAGATATGCGGAGCGAGGCCTCTGAAGGGACGAAAACATCGACGTGGCGTTTGATATTCAGATCTTGATCTTGTTGTGACATGAGCGTCCTCCAGTAGCAGCAGCAGCAACACCAACCGCTTGAAATCCCCAAGCGTCTATGAAGAACTGTAAAAACAGCTTCGGTGGACCCCGGAGGATGGAAACAACCACTGGTTCTACGCCAGCCTCAAGATCAATGAATGGGTGCAGGAGATCGCAGCAACCATTTTGTTGACGGGAACGGTGATCGTGTCCGGACCTCTACCGACAGAGGAGCAGGGTGTACCAGGTCTTTTCTGCTTGAACGCAAGGTCTCTCGACACGTATTTTCATTCCGATAAACATTCTCGGTTCTGGACGCTCGCAACCGCCGTCTAGCTGGACTTATTCCGCCAAACATTGCGAGACCCGAGGAGGAACTACGGCAGCAGTGCTCCGTATTCCTGAAGGCAATAATGAACGTCACGCTGGAACGTGCACATTAACAAACGATATTTCAATCGCCACAACAATATCTTGGAAGTCCATGACGGGCTCTGTGCATATTTTTTTCGCAGTTTTGAAATTGTAACTGCAACAGTTTGAGCGTCCCAACCGACCGGTAAGTACCCTTTCCCATTCCACGGCCACAACTGTCGATAGTAACTTTTCCTCTCTTCCCCCTCCCAACGCCTGCTCTCTGTTCGCGTGCGGGTCTTCTTCTCCTCCCTCCTCTCGCCCGTGTCGCATCTTGGGACGGGGGGTACTACTACTTCCGTGTGCGCGCGGCAAAAACAAACAGTCGATGAGGATCTGCTACCGGTTTTCCACCGGGGTCACCGAGGCCGGCAAGCTCTTCGATGGTTTCGTCGCGGTGCTCATCCTGCTCAACGTCGTGGCCGTCATCGCGGAGTCGGAGCCGTCCCTCGGGGGCACGGGTGGCCCATCGGAGGGGAGGTTCCAGACGTTCTTCGACGGCTTCGAGGTCAGTACGCAACACAGGGGGGGCTCGAGGCCGTGTACCTAGCTCACGGTGCTCGTGCGAGCGACGTGGTGGTGGTGGTAGCGGTGGTGGTGGTGGTGATGGTCGGAGGTTGCGAATAGAAACGAGTGAGGCTGTTGTAATCCCGATCTAGTTACATATCGCAGGTGGGTTTCCGAAGGGGGCGATCTCCATCGCTTCCAAAATATGGGCTTGTCTGGCAACTGGCGAACGCTAACAACACGTTGTTCCACAACACCTGTACGTGTTTTGGCGGTTCCGCTTTCCCACGCCGGAACAGGCGTTTTCGGTGCTGGTGTTCACGGCGGAGATCTCGATGCGGCTCTTCATCGCGCCCATATCGTCAAAGTACGCCTTCAGCAGGTGGAAGTACCTCAGCTCCTTCTTCGGCGTCGTCGACGTGGCTTCCATCGCTCCATGGTAGGCAGGGCGTCTTCGGAATGCATTTTGCCCCGAGGTCGTGTACTTCTAGCTTCGGTATTTTGCCTGTGCTGTTGCGTGAGCGTTTTGCCAATGAACGTTCAGCGTTTTCATTGTAGACACCGCGGGGCGCGTCGGTTTGTGACGATTTGTTGTTTGTGATTGCGGGAATTCGTTTGTTTTGCCTTGAATTGGGGAAGGGCACGTCCTACAGAACGGCGTTTTCATGTGAACACCACGGTGACGGTGACGTCGATGACGACAACAACAAAAACAACAGCAGCAGTAACGACAATAACGACAATGACGACAGTAACAATAAAAACATCCTTATCATCATCGACATCAACAACAACAACAGCAACAACGACAACGGCAACAATATTTCGGCCGTCACGCCATCACGTGGTAGCTGCGTATTCGTTTTTTCATATTCCATCCAATAGTTCCGGCCCTTGTTATTCTATTGGACGGCTGTTGAACCGGTCTTCCCCCAATTCCCGGGCGCTCATCCCGCAACCACCACGGAACTCCTTCCCAGGTACATCGAGACGATCCTCTGGTCTGCTGGCGTCTACTTCGACGCCTCGGTCTTCCGGGTCCTCAGGCTCTTCCGGATCCTTCAGCTGGAGCACTTCGTGTCGGCCTTCTCCCTCCTCGACGACGTGTGGACGGCGTCCAAGGACACGCTGGCGGCCACGGGGCTGCTGGCCCTGGTGGTGTGGGTGGGCAGCGCCTTCCTCTTCTACCTCTTCGAGAAGGTGCTGTGTCTGTCGGTGCTATTGGCAGCTGGGACGGCAGTATGAAGTTGTTGATCCCCAGGTCTCCCCGTGTCGTACCCAGCCCGTTGTGTTTGGTTTTACGACTGCGTTCTATGTGTTCTCGGCGGTCCTCTCGTTTACCGCAGCTCTGCTGGTCTGCTCTGCTGGTCTTTCTCCTAAGTTGTGCACATTTTCCTCGCACGCGTGTGAACACATTTTGTTTTCCAAACTTGCTTCGCTGTCAATCGGATCTGGTTTTTTATCCAAACGCGTTTCGCTGGCAATGTTTTCGCCTATTGTTTTGGTGTTTCCAGGACAATATGTGCACCGGGGAGGCTTTTAGCAGCATCCCCGACGCCATGTTCTACACGGCCGTTTTCCTCGGCGGAGAGTGGTCCGAGATCGACTTCACCTGGGCGGGCAAAGTGTTGTGCTGCGTGCTGTGCGTCTTTGGCATCGTCCTCTTCGGCATCCCGGTTCGTGAAAAATGAACAGATTGATTTTCGTTATTTCGCACGCAACGAATTGTTGTTCGTGTGCAGGAGGCGGGTGAGGCAGGCGTGCGGAGTCGATTTTGTTCGTGAAAACACACATTCGCAATTGTTGTTGGTGTGCAGGATGCGGTTAGGCAGCAGCGTGGAATCCACGCGATGCCCCCCTTAACGTAGTATATCACTCCACATTTTTTAGCCTGGGGTATGTGCCGGTTAGAAGACTTTCCTCTCTTAATTTTTTCGAAGCCAAGGTAAGGTTACCGGACAATTTCGCACGATGTGAGAGTGTATTGCGAAGGTGTTGCAAAACGTTGCCTTGGGATTCTGTCTTTTCTAGTAGTTCCCGAGCCCGGGTCGACCGGAATACACCGTCAATGGTCAAGTATAAGATGATGTAAATGAAAAGCAACACGCTGCCCTTGTCTGCATTCATAATTGCTTTGAGACGTTCAACGTGATGATGGTTCTTGCCACACCCCCACTTTCCCATCTGTTGTCCACAGGTCGGAACGGTCTTCGAGGCATTCCAGGACGTGATGCAGGAGGTCAATGAGGAGGAAGAGGAGGACACACCTGGACGTGACGGGAGCGCGGGAGAGACGTACGGCATCCAGATCGGTGAGATTTATTATACCAATAGGCATTGCAGGATTCGATGCAGGGATTGCGGGTCTCCTTGATCATAGCACGGGGCACGGGCCGCCGCGTGCTCTTACCCACCTACAAGGAGTGTACAACAAACGTGATATGTGTTTCACTCGAGGTGGGAACAAGAGAGAGATCGAGAGAGAGTGAGAGAGGGAGTGAGAGAGTGAGGGAGAGTGTGTGTGTGTGAGAGAGAGAGAGAGAGAGAGAGAGAGAGAGAGAGAGAGAGAGAGAGAGAGAGAGAGAGAGAGAGGAAGTGTCCACCCAGCCTCGGCGGTCGCGAGGGCGACCGACAACACCCGTAGCACGCAAAACCACAAGTCGCGAGAAGGCGAGAACACTCGGCTCAAGTTGTGGCTCTTGCAACGGGCGCAGATAGGTACTACTGCCCAGGCGAGGGCCTTCGATCCGTTAGAATTCTTCGGCATTCCGTTTTCCGGTGCCAAGGAAAACAGTTCGCGGCGAGGCGGTGTCCGCTCCTACTGATCCGCGTCGAAATGACCTCCGTTCGGTGCGCGCCAATACGATGGCACTCGTGAAGTTCTCCGCTGTGTTCTGTGCACTGTTTTCCCACCACCTCGCTGCCGGTTTCGCAAGGCTCGAGCCAAGCGTAGTGCTACTCCTCGTGTCACCACGGCATCACCGTCCCGACCTGGTGGCTCGACAACTGCAAGTGCGATTGGTATTGCCGGCATCGCGGGGCAGGCCATGCCCCGGATGGAAACATCGTCACAGAATGAGTACTGCTGATGCTTTGGAAGAGGTTTTCGTGGGGAGCAAGTCGCTGGGGAGCTATTGGCGTGCCATTGGTCAGGTGAAGTGTGCATGTTTGCAACGCGGGGTCTCAGAAATACGGCGCGCTTATGGGGTGGGTGGTACATCTCTTGCATTCTTTATGGTGTATGGTTCACTTTCACTAGGTGTTCGAGTGAATGGAACTGCGTCGCCTTCCATCACGTTTAGGCTTGTCACGTGTGGTTTCCGTCTGCAAAAAGTGCCAGTGCGAGATAGGGCCTGCTTTGCTTACGAACCTTTGCTGCTCTGTAGCTGAGCGAAGAGGGACGCGACGTGCAGGGGGCGATTAGGCGACCGTTGCCTCTCGGTGGTGGTCGCTCGTTGGTTGGACTGATTCATTCCGATCGTGCACGTTTTATTGCTTCGTTCAGGGAAGCCTGGTACCGGTGTTTTCGCCTCTCCTTGTCTATTTAGCTTGTACCCGAACGGTCCGGTTTTTTTTTTTAAGGATGGGGACCCGCAATAGCTGATCGCTCGGATGATCGTTGGCTGTTTCGAGGTTTTTGGTCGCCATCACCAGTTAGGTCTTCCATATTGGACGCTCTAGAATTTACCGTAGTGTGCCGGGTCACATTGACTAGCTTTCAGCAGCCCATTGGATGCTGGGTCACAGGAGCCGCCCCAGGGTCATGTTGTTTTTTTTTTTGCCGCTGGGCGAGGGCAAAATGACCCTTTTCGGCCGCCGGAACACATGATTCGATCTATGATTGCTTGGATTATGTTCCTCTTTTTGCTTTTGGGCACCAGAGAGTGTGCGCGTCGCCATATCGCGACTTTGAGAAGGAATGCTTCGTCATATTTGCGATGGCTACATCAACGGTCATCTCTATGTACCAAGAAGACTGCGAGCACTATTATTTGTCACGAAACCGAAGGTTCAGTGCGGAAGGGTGCCTTTTCTTGTGCAGTTGGCGTTCTCTCTTTGGGTGGTAGGTGCGTAGATAGATTGTTATGATGGTACGTTTCAGGATAAAACCGGTGTCATTGGAGTAGGTGGTATGGGCCTGTGGTCGATGAACTCGAAGACCGAGGAGATATGGACCTGTGGTCGATGAAATCGAAGACCGAGAAGATATGAGAGGGGTATTTCTTTCGCCCGTGTGCGTTTGGCCAACCACAGCGGTCATATTGTGGCATTATGCTCAATTTTTGCTACATGCAGGATGCCAAGTGCTAGGTTGCCACGGAAGTCAAGACTTTTTCTTGGGCAACGGGTTGAACGTCTGAGCGGCAACATGAAGCGCGCGTTGGCAGGTAGATGTGCTGATGCGTCGTGGTTTGGTGAACGAGGTGCTTTCTTCTTGTGGCGGTCCCCTGAAAAGCCCACAAATGAGAAAGAAATCTCTTGACACACGCGCGTGACCGGCGAAAGGCAATGTGTATCTACAATACCGACTGTCATCCTTCAGAGCTACAAAGTATATCTCAGGGGGCGAATGACAACAGCCCATTGCAAGCAACCGTGCCATGGAAGAAGCTTCCACGAGGCTGCACCAACCTTGCTTGGATGTCTGTTTGGCCTATCTACACCAACAACAAAAGCGCAGGCAAGGAAGGCCCATCCCTAGACCAAGGAAGGCGCGTGCCTGTAATATTAGCAGTCGCTGGCATATAATACTCTCAAAGAAGGCGCGTGCCTAAACTTCCTAATGAAAAGGTCACCTCTTTTGAGTGTCTTGCCATGCGGCCTCATTAGTTTCGCAACTTGCTCACAACGCGGGCAACCGCCTCTCGTTCTGCGATCGCAAAAATATCGCACTCATGTGAATAATCAGAGTGCCGGTGGATAGGCTCCGAGGCGCCAATCCTTTTCGAAAATGGTGCACATGTTGCCAGCAGCCTGTATATCCTACACCGGTTGCTTGCCGAACGTCTGTTATTTGCAATGCACATACCACGGGTTCTAGGAGCTGATCGTTCCCTCGTGGCGCTCCGTTTCCACTCTCTTGTCTTCGAGTAGCCTTACCTTGGTTAGACATTGCGCTCGGTGCCCCTTTCACCTTGGCGTAGCCCGCCATATACATACATATGACACAGACAGGTGTACTGACCGAGTGTTTTATCATCCCAAGCCTAATAGTAATAAACGATTTGTGTCATGTGTGTATCCCCCCCAATGCTGCCACGTTTTTTTCGTTGCGCTGGGTTTTCGCCATAATTGATTTTTTCCCTCAGGGCAGACGCGCAGAATAGAGTATAGTGAACGTCGACGGAGCTTCAATTTGATGACAGATTTGATGGCAGTTAGGGCGTTGAGGATGGAAATCAACTTTCGTCGAGAGCACCTACCTGCGTCTTTAGACGAAAATACGGTCAAACATCGTGTCGCGAAACAGCCAAACAGTCCGTATTCAAGTTCAAGCTTGATGAGGGCGTGTAAGACAGTCGAAGACGGCTGGCGTGGGCATTTTCCGCGCCTCCGGGGTTCGATGAAAAGAAAAGCATGAATCGGAGCGTCCGACTGGACGGCATCAGACACATAATTCGCGATTCTTCCCGTCGAAAGACCGGTCTCTTACCGGAAACATGTGAACCAAAGCCGAGGAAACACTTGTGGGCGATAAAGAGCTAATTTATTGGGTGTGCAAGACCTTGACCAAAACGGTACGAAATAGATGGATAGATAGATGAGGTGCCAATCTGAACCTCCGCTATAGCCCGCCACCTAATAGCCTAAGAAACGCACCACATTCAGCGTTGTTGAGAAGGTCGTCACACTTTCCGTTGCTTACCAAGTCGGTCAAAGCGTCGCATAGCTCCTTTTTCTTCAGAGTGTCGTGTTGGGCTGAGAAAAAAACGTCGACACTGGTGAGGACTGCCAAAGCTATATGGCGGCGATCAGGGTTGGTCGGAACTTCATTTTATTGTGAGGACACGTTTGATGTCGTCGTGGTGCGTGTGTGTTGACTGGTTTAGGATGCCAACAAGAGATTCCGGCGCACTTTCCCAACTTTCTTTCGGGAGATTATCCCACCGCGTTTCGTCGGTTTCAACTATTGTTGGGCGCGCGAGCATGAATGTTGCTCACCCTTCTTTGTCGTCGAAACGCATCCATCATACGTATTGCCTCATGTGACGATCAATCTGCGCGTATTGTAGGCAAACTGCAATAACAGACTTACCGACTTCAAGGCCGGGAATATCGTGCCAACAAGAGGGCCGGGGAACACCTGCCCCGGCGTACATGTTCTGCCGCGTTTCGACCGTCTTATACACTGCATGCCCTAGTTTATTCGCGCGCAACGTACATATGTACATATGTTCTTTGTCCGCTCTTCTTCACACAATACATTTGTCTGGATGATCGGCTCTGTCGATCCTCTACTGTGCTCTCGGTGTGCCGGCATACGAGCGGACACCTTTGACCTGGGATGAGCAGTCGTCCCCGCCGTGTGCTGTACAGCAGCGTAAATGTCCCAAGCTGTTGCATTTGATCGATCACAGCAGGGAAGGCGTGTGTTGCTCACTCAGTACACGTTGTTGATGACTCTCTTTTCGGGACACATCATTATCATAATCATCTCTCTGATCCGTGCACCGCGGATGTGTGTGACGTCAAACTCTTGTAGGATACGCTTCTACAAGCAGAAACTGATTGGTTGAGCGCGAATCTTCATCTCGTCTGTGCTCGCTTCGCCAGTCGAGTACACTAAACATTGATTGTCCAATTCTTACTGCCTTCTTCACGACGAAAACGTCATCGTTGTACTGCTGTAGCATCATGACAACGACAACCACGACCGAAAAAGATCACGAGAGTCTCTTTGAGGACCAGCACGATTGCTTGAGGGAAGCTGCGTTGCCAATCCAAATCTACGAAGAGAGGAACACGCCGAGCTACTCTGTACACACAGTACATTGCGTTGGCGCACCACAGGGGTAAAACGAAAAATCTTTGCTGTTCCGCTGCCAACGGGAGCATCTTGTAGTTGTTACAGCGGGCACGGACAGCCTCAAACCCAAGCACAATGCGATCATTTGTATTCAGCCTCGGTGACACCCTTTCGCATTCTCCGCGCAATGTTGTCATAGTGGGGGCGGCTCCTTTCACGGACTCGCTTCAGCAGCCTTCATGACAGCATTCAGCATACCCGGTGCGGGGGTATTGATGTGAAGGCAAACCTTGCACGCGGGACTGTCATTTTCACGGAGTTCCCGGTACCACGTTGGACGTTCTTGGATTTTCTGGCCGCCGCACCCCTTCGAGCCTTCGCCTTTCGCTTTTCTCCGTCGTCTGCGGCTCGAGATAAAAAAAGGCCGAGAACATAGAACGGTCCATGATGTACGTTCCGCTTTTCTCATGTGCATGTTATAGTCTAATCTACCCCTATCTGATTGGAACATTCACAGAGATTTAAGCAACAATAAATACACACACACAGAGAGAGAGACTATCCATTCGAGATATACCAACAGTCACATTCTCGGACTTCCGCGGAGCACACAACAGTATGTATGTACAGTTCCTTTCCAGAACAACTACTACTGTACATGCAGTCGAGCGGCGGAGTGCTACAAATGTTACATTCCTGTCTGTTTTCCCATGTCCAGCATAATCAAAGGGCCTGCCGGCCTCTTCCCTGAGCGCGAAGACGCGCTGCACTCAGACGCTTGCTATACTTGTACTTGCGCCCGAAACGACCAGACACCTGCGGAGCAACCGCACCGCCGCCTTCATCGGCACATTGTTGGCAATGCTACTGCATGCTGTAGTGAATGCTGATCCCAAAGACACTATGCCGGCGGCTGCTGCTACAACCTCCTGTGGTTCGGATGGCACAGCTCCCCCAGGGAACTCGGTCGACGATGTTCAACCGGTGGCCCCGTCTTGGCACTTACTTGGCACCAGGAGTCAGCTTTGGTGGTCCTCGGCTCTGAAAGGCCTGCCTCCAGTGCGTCCCAAGAAGAGTTGTCAAGCTGAACTTGTGTGTGTGTACATAGATATGGGTTGTTGATGCTGCTAGCGGCGCTGCTGTGTGCGGCTGTGCGCACGTGGGGGATGCGGCACATCGTGCTTCGTGAACTGTTCGGGGTTTTGATTGGTCATGGTTCGTGTGCTTCGTG